AGGCTGAGGCACATGGAATACTGTTATTTTCCCACCAAAGTGGTACCTATAAGGGCAATTTGGAAATAAATCTCCGTTTGGTTATCAATGACTGATACTCACAGAAACAGAAATTTTATTATGCACATTAGAAAACTACAACATTACATTACTTTTCGACATAATCACCATGCAAATTGAGGCACTTGTCATAACGTCTTACAAGGTTTGAAATTCCTTAGTAGTAGTCATTCAGCGCCAAATCTGGGCTATAGGGGGGTGATCAAAAACATCCCAACGGAACTGCTTCAAAAGTTCTTGGGTGCGTCTAGTGGTGTGCGGGTGAGCATTATCATGAATCAACACCACACCGGAAGTGGTGCCATAGAAAATCCCGCCAAATGTGAAGATGCCAAAGGAGTACTGCTAGTGAAGTTCACGGAGTGTAGTTCGACCATCAATTCAGAAGTCTACTGTGAAACGTTACAAAAATTCAGACGAGCCATTCATAACAAGCGTTGGGGCATGCTGATTTCTGGCGTGGTATTGGTTCATGATAATGCTCACCCACACACCGCTAGATGCACCCAAGAACTTTTGAAGCAGTTCGGTTGGGATGTTTTTGATAACCCCCCATAGCCCAGATTTGGCGCCAAGTGACTACTACTAAGAAATTTCAAACCTTGTAAGATGTTATGACAAGTGCCTCTGTTTGAATGGTGATTATGTCAAAAAGTAATGTAATTGTCAAGCCCTCCCAGGCTCGACACACAAGCAGGGGGGGAACCAACCTACTGGCCGAGAGGGAAGAACGTATGGCGGGCAGCGTTTCCAAAACAAACATGGTTAAGAGTTTCCAGCGATAGTGCGGAGCCAGCGATACTGCGGAGCGGGAGCCGACATGCGCAGAAGGACTGTCGCACATGCGCAGATCCATCTCAATCCCCGACGAACAGCTGACTAGCGGGAGAATTGGAGTCAGCTGATGGAAGGCGAACCGCGGATCGCAATAATAACACAGGGTGTCCGGCAGAAGATTGAGTCTAAGAATGAATTAAACGCTGATTGGAGGCCAGGAGGGTGGGAACGGGGTTGGTGCAGGTGTAGGGTAATGAGCACGGGTGTGGTGAAGGTGTGGTCAGTAATAACCTAGGGTGGGACGCAATTGTAAATGTACTTAAATAATGCTGGGAGGCGGTTGCTCCCAGCGCAAACTTTGTAGAGCACAGAGCTAGTGCTACGCTTGTCTGTATCAACCGTCAATGCATTCTCTGAAGTAAACCGGAGCTGTTCCCACTCAAGAATCTCGTCGGTATGTTCTTCGTGCGACATTCAGTAGGGAGGATGACAGTAATGTTGTAGTTTTCTAATGTGTATAATACAAGTTCTGTATCTGTGAGTGTCTGTCATTGATAACCAAATAGAGGTTTATTTCCGAATTGCCCTCATATTTATCTACTCGCATTAGTGTGTTTTCAAACTGCTAGGGCAGGAGCTGAGGCAAGTAACAGGAGCTGATTCTGTCATACAGTGCTTGGGTCTCGAACCTGGACTGTCTGACAAGCTCAGTTTCTTTAAACTCTGAGCCATCGTGCACACACACCCAGAACTTTATAAGACTTATAAGCAATTGCCAAACTCCAACAAGCAATCCTCTTTGTTTTTTCCTTTATCTGAAGTATCACAGCAAATGGGAGCATCCAGAAAACCTTCACAGACCTTGAAGAAGCAGGTTTGGACCTGATTAGTCATTAGATTAGAGATTACCATGAAATCCCAGCCTTATGGATTAAATGTTGAAAGCAACATCCTGGAAGAATATGTTATTTCCATAATGCTGTCCAGAAAACATCCAGATGTGGTCACCAGGAGTTGAGCTTGAGTCAAAAAAAAAAAAACAGTCCAGCAGATGGCAGCACATAAGTAAACTTAGTTGACTTAAAAGGTTAAGCAGAGTTGGATCTGGTTAGCCTTTGGATGGGAAATTACTAGGGCTGCAAACAAAATAAGAAATAAATAAATCATACCAGAAAAAGACAAAGGAAAGCAATTTCTTTATCACTTCCAGAGAAAACACCCTGGACCTGTCCATGAAGATATCAAGAAATCCAGCTTGAAGAACACATTAATTTTACCTGATCTGTTTCTTTCTCTCCTGCTATGAATATGTCCCTTCAACCTCTCATTCTCTCAACATTGTATTACTGAGACATGAGCCTTCCTAGCTGCGTTTAAGCCTTTAGATCTGCATCACCAAGATCTTAGCAGACTTACTATTCCCTCTTAGACAAACAACAATTGTCTCATTCTGTCTTTTCCAATTCTACAATTGTGATCAGGGACTTGATGCCAGACCAGCAGTGGTTTTTTTCTGATAAGGTGGGGAGGGGAAATAAAATAGGATTAAGTCATTGGTTATTTGGAAAAAATGGTAGTGTAAAATACAATGAAATAAAATATTTGTATAATGTAAATATTTTTATGCAGTAGGTTTTACCATAATATTCCTGAAGCTGATTCTTGAAATATGGCTCTCATTCTAGGTGTGAAAAAGATCCTAGCGTACATCTCTCTCTCTCTCTCTCTCTCTCTCTGTGTGTGTGTGTGTGTGTGTGTGTGTGTGTGTGCGCGCGCACACGCACGTGTGCGTGTGTGTGTGTGTGTGTATGATTGGACATATGGTATCACAGAGAGACCAGCTCATCTCCTTTTGGCAAGCCTTGTCAGCATGTGGTAACATTAGCCAGTCTTTCTGTCTCCTTCTGTGGGCAGCCTCCTTCAGTAGTCATGACAACCAGTCCCTCCTTTCAAAGAGGCCTATAGAGTCTGAGACTGGAATGGCCAGCTTCCTTCCTTCTATTGGGCAGCATCAACATGAGGCCATAATGGCAGCTTTAGCATTTCTCTTTTCCTTACTCTCATTGGAGCATGTTCCCACGTCTCTTTGCCAGCCCTAATGCAAGGAGGCACCATCATTTGTGGACACTGCATTTCTCACCGAGGTGAACATAGTCAGGAGCAACTGAACATCACCTTTTCTTCTGTTGAAACATTTCTCTCACTGAAAAGGACAACTGTATAAATAGAGAAGGGGAGGGAATTAAGAAGACAAGCAGGCAAATGAATTCTTTCTAGCACTGAAAATTGATTGATTGATTGAATGAATTTCTATACCACCCATCTCACCTATACAGATGTTACCTAGTCTGGTAATGAAACATCTGCAAGCATCCAACCAAGTTCAAAGAGCACCAGGAACTACACATTTCAACCCTGACTTACATATAGATATTTATTATAAAAATGTCTGCATAATTTAATACCCCTTACTTCTATAGATATAAGATGATATATCTTCCTATAGATGTAAGATGGGCTGAGTCATGAAGATTTAAAATATAACTTTGAACCTTTACTGTGCATATTTACTGAGCTTGGGATGTCCAAGGCGAAATCTTGAAGTGAGTTTGTTAGTTCTTAAAAGAGTTTTTGACAATTTTGGTTGGATTCTTATTTTCAATCAGGTTCCAATAAATACACAGTTTGAAAAATTGTATGCCAATATAATAGGCTAATTACATTTAATATTTTCAGTTTAAGGCAAGTTTGCAGGCCTAACCAACTATTCATTCTAATTTAGGCTTGCTATTCAAATATTTTATTAGGACATTCACCCAATGCAACACTGCCCCAAGTTGTCATGTACAGATGTTGCATATACTGTATTCAGTGGGGTTTGCCTGTGATGTTCACACATGGAGTATAATTAGTTGCAGGAACTGAGTCTTTGTATGTACAGCAGTCGGACGCCTAATATGGTTGATACAATTCTAAGATCGGTTCCTCATGGATTTCAATACTAAGTCAATTCATCACATTACCTAAAGAATATGGTTCCCTATTACAGACGATTTTTTAATCTAAGTCAATTCAGTATTATCAAAATATTTTTAAAATTACAAAAATGTGGGCAAAGTACAGGATATCTGGCATAAAGAATGGGAGTATCGTGTTTTGCAAAATTAGTTGTTTTAGGAAAGATCAGTTATCTAAAAATTAGTTCAACTAATTTTATCTTTTTTAAAGGGCTGTTTCAAAGAGGTTATTTGCCATTGCTGCAATCATTATAAAGTTGAAGGAAGTTTAATACATATGTTTTGGTCATATCCATTAGTAGTTTCTGGTTGGCTTAATATTATAACCATGATAAATTAGGTCCTTACAAACAAAGTAAAGTTTAAGGATGTCTACCACAATTATATTTCAAAAATGTGTTCATTTTTAAAGAACTTTTCGATATAAAGAACAGACTTTTGCCAATAGCTGATTCTGTATTCTTGGAAGGATGAACCTATACAGATTCTAGAAACTGATTCAACCAAATTTGTCATCGCTCAGTCTTAAAAGTGGCTCTGAATTGGCAAAGAAGCAAGATCAGAGAGTATGACTCTGAATGTCCTAGGTTTAAATCATTTCTTAAAAAATAATAATAATGACTTATACAATTACAGTACTATTGCTTTGATGTTATAGAAAAAAGTGTAAATAAAGAAAATTCTCTTTCTCTCCTTCAACAATAATTGAAATGAAATACAATTCTTCACCTTTATTCCTAATTGTTATTACTTGTGGTATCACTTGTATTGATTCAAAAACCCTCTTGTGTGTATGCATGTGTGTGGAGAGAGAAGGGGGGGTTGGTCATGCCTGTGTGGGTGGGGAGCAATGCATATAACTCCTTGGGTTGAAAACCACTATTTACTCTTAGAGCTTTTCAACTTATCCATACTGTTAAAAAAATTCTGCTGATAATATAAGACAGGGGTGTCAAACTTGCAATGTCATATGACTTGTCGCGACATATCGTGACTTTTTTCCCATTGCCGGCAATGGGGTGGGCATGGTTTTGGCATGACGCATCCGGCCTGTGGGCCGGCAGTTTGACACCCCTGAAATAAGAGACGCATTAATTATAGTGAATAGATTCCTTCAAGTAGCAGTCTCTCTCTCTTTTTTTCCAGGCTGAAAAGAAAACATGAAACAAAGAAGAGTTGCTTTAAAGATTGGCAGAGAGGTGCTATGTTTGTACTTTAAAAAACTTTTCAGAATAATTTTTATGGCACATCTGCTCCTACTGAAGGACTTGAATGTGGAGAAAAAGACTAATTGGATAAAATAGATCTGAGCATGTACCAGAAGTTATTCTGAAGTATTTTTAGATGTGATCTTACTGGGAAAACAATACAAAACAAGTCAACATCCTGATAGTAGCCAAAACATAGATGTAGCTTTTTCTTTTTAAAAAATACACATGACTTGCCACTTATCTGTGATGTGTTTTTGGTATTTGGCAGGAATTTCCCTCAACCAAATAACTCCTGAAATTGTATGAACGCTTTACCTGTCAAAGTTCAAAATCTGAGCAGGCCGAAGCACAGCAACCTTATCTAGCTTTTAAAGACTTGCTAACCTTTAAATAAACAAAATATGTTTTCTTCTCCAAACAATGATCTTATTGTTTAGACTATACATGGCCAGCTTTCTTAGGAAATGAGTGAATTGTGGGGCTGTCAACTGCTATTTCGGTCCACATCTAACCTTATGAAGGAATTCCTCTCAAGTGCTTGCCTTCAAGCAAAACAGATTGCGAGTGACAACTTCCAAAATGGATTTGCTGTACCACCATGGCAGATGGATGTGTTTCTCCCTGCATAATTTTAAAATGATCGACCATCATTTCTATTATATTGTAGGGATAGCCAGTTTGATCTAGTGGCGAAGGCACAGGGCTATAAACAAGGAGACTGTGAGTTCTAGTCTTGCTTTAGATATGAAAGCTGGCTGGGTGACTTTGGGTCAGGCCATTTGACATCAGGCCATTTGACATCAGGCTCAGGCAAAAAGCCAATTGATCAATTCCTGTCACAATCAATAGATCGATGCTCAGCTGATTCAAAAAAAGCAGGCCCTGAACTCGCAGGAAAACATTAGGAAGACAAAAGGCATTTCTATTTTTTATTATTACTCTATTTTAATAATTATTTTTATGTTTTCCACCATTTGTTTTTCCAGGTAATCCAGAACACAAGAATAACAATCCAGTAAGAGCAAAATGTGTGGCAAAGCAGAGTTATTAAAAACAACCTAATAGCAGCTCCTTCCGAGGTATATTGTAGCAATCTGAATAATTAACAGTTCATTTCAGTAATAATTATAAGATTTCATAGAGGATATTACTGCAAGACAGTAGCAAAAGATAGTATTTATCTACCGTTAATCTGTCTGCTTTGAAAACAGATCTGATATTGTTAAGTACATTCCTGTTGGCCAATTTTTCAAAGGGCTCAGAGCAAAACACAGTTGCCGGATTTCTTATGGCAAAAGTTTTCAAACTTCAGAGGTAATGAGCAACTGGAGAGGTTATAAGTTTTTAAATTGTTTGTCTCAGCTATGATTTTGGTTTATTACTAAGCTTGTAAACTGGATTTCCATCTGCTGGCTTTTTTTAAATAGAGACACAAGGGCTCCATGAACCAGCAACAGTATTGAATTCCTTCCATTATTATTATTTCTATTAGAGAATGCTATTCTGAAAAGCCTTTTCTTCTTGCATATTTATTTATTTATTTGAAACTTAGCCATCAGAAACCCTTCATTGTGACAGAAACATCGATGAAAGTTTTCACATTGCTTCGGCATTTTGAATCCAGTTGAATGGAGAAAACTCTCATATCTGTAGTGTATAAAAACTGACATCGATCATATGACAGATTATTATCATGTATTGATGAGCTATTGACATTGGCCACTAATGGCTAGGTTTGTCTTTTCTCAAAGTGAATGTATTTCATGTAAATTTACGACCAATTGGGAACAGAATTTCCATTACTGAGCAAGGCAGTTGTAAAAAGGAGTCATGCCCGATCTCACAATCTTTTTTGTCATTCTTGTTAAACAAATCAATGCATTTGTTAAGTGAATCATGTGGTCGTTAAGTGAATCCAGTTTCCCCCCATTGACTTTGCTTGTTGGAAACTGGCTGGGAAGACTGGCAATGGTGCTCACATGACCTCAGGATTCTGCAAGCATCTTAAATACAAGCTCATTGCCAAGCCCCCAGATTCGGATCTTGTGCTCATGGGGAGGCTGTGACACTCATAAGTGCGAGGACCAGTTGGAAGAAACTTTTTTCAGTGCTTGTAACTTTGAATGGTCATTAAATGAAAGGTTGTTAGCTGAAGTCTACCTATGGTACTATTGTATGTCTTAGACTATGGAGTATCTGTAAGATAAGATGAGATAATCTTTTTTGTAATTTTTTTATTTTGGGCACATTGGCACACATTAAAAATAAAATTTAATTGCTTGCTCTCAAAAGTGTACACATGCATTAACACACATTTAAACATGCTATGTACAACATATGTATAAACCTTCACCTTTACATATAAATAACATATAAATATTAATCACTGACCATCTTGAATATGATACGGAAAGAGGAAGCAGAAGAAGTGTATGTATCAGTGAAATTCAAAATGAAATCACATTTCTAGTTTTTTAAAATGTAATCTTTCCTATTGGAAGATTAGTAAAAGCTTAAAGATGATCAATACATTGTTAGTACTAATAAAAGCAAACTTAAATCAATAAAGTATTTTGAGAATTACATATCTTTTGGTTTCACAAATTTTGGGAGGGTTTTTGAACTGAGCAAGAACATCTTTATGATATTATTTGATGTCTGCTGAGAATATGAAATCAGATTAAAACGTTCTGTAGAAAAAAGTGATGTAAAAACATTATATGACTATTTCACTGTGTTATTTGATAAAGAGATAAAATGTTATTGAAATTTAGTAGTATCTTTCTTTCTCGACTAATTCAAATCCCAATTAAGTCCTTCCTGGAGGACAAATTCATTATCATTTTAATGTGCAGCAGTATACCAAACTTTAAAGAAAGCATGAATCTTTAAAGAAAGGATGAATCTGTCAGCTTTGTTTTCACCAAATACATTTTTTAAACAAAAATTTTAAAAAAATAGTTTCTGTACATTCTGTAAAGAAAAATAAGAATGCTCTTCTTACAATTTTTTTTAACAAAATGGAATTCTCTTATTTGCCTATTCTAATCAAGACCATTTTGTCCCTGCCTGTTGTATAACCATGAGAACATTTCAGAAAATAAAGGAAGTAGTAAGTTGAATCTATCAGTTGTGTTTTCTTCCCTCATTTGAAATTCTTTGTTCTGTCTTATATTTAAAATGGAGTTTACAAAATTAAAACAGAAACAAACTCAATTCTCACTCATCCTTACATTTCTTACAGCTGTTTTCGTGTTTGTGTGTGTGTGTGTGTGCTTGCATGCTTGCATGTGTACACATATGTGTATATTTTGATATCTTCAAATATTCTGAAGTTATAACTTCCAGAAGTTCCCTACAAATATGACTGTTCACTCTGCTGCCTATAGAATTCTGGGAATATTATCCTACCACATATAAATAGTGCACGTTTTGGCAAACTAAGCCAGGTTCAGAGGTACTGAAGAGCAAGAAGTTTCCTAAAAAGCAGATTTGATCTGAAATCTAGACTAATGTAACAATAAAAAGAAAGCTATTGAAATTAAATTACTTGCAAAATCTGGTAAAAATGACAGGTACTCTCATCTGTCTACTTTCTAATGGCCCATATCAAAATTTAAATTTAGCTATATGGAAAAAATTGAAAGAAAACATTTTAAACACATAAGCACTTTTTTTTTAAAAAAAAATCTGAATGCAATAAAAATAGGGCAAATAGGAAGCACCAAAAGAGTGAGAAAAGATCTTCCTTTTTTTAAAAAAAAAATGGGGACAAATGTGGCCATGTTCTCTATAACATATCTTGCTTTCAGCCATACCCGTTGTATAAAATAAATCCCGAGTTTCCTGTATCCTCTTCTTGCACTTGGGCTTCTATCTAAGAAATTGGCAAGAGCTGTATTTCACTTTTACAATTTCTCCTAAGCCACAGTAGATCTCCTCTTGGAGATCTTCATCAAAAGTAAGTCTTGCTCCAGAAAGCAGCTGGGTATTTCCTGTAGTGCGCATTCTATAACTCTTGGTCAAGTAAGGTGCACTCATTTTTTTCCTTTTCATGTCAATTCTGAAAAATAGGCTAGATTCTTGGACAGCTGTGAGGCCTCCCAGGCTTGTACAGTTTTGTGGCTATTCCAGAAGAGATGTATAAAATAACACGCGTCATCTGATTTTTCATTTGAGATGTCCCCTACAAAGAGTTCCCAAAATTGGAGGATACACACTTGGACTAAAAAAAAAAAATGCCCACAAAAGAAAAAGAAAAATATTTTTCTTTAAATTTGCTCAGAAACAGGGTCAGTTGCTCCAACCTCATCTTTCTTTATAGGCAAGCGTAGAGAGAGATGGATGTTTTAATTTTATTAACAGATGGCATCCTTAGAGATTATAAGAATATATAAAGCCAATAAAAAGGAAATCTGAGAATATTTATTTGCACGGAGACATGGGTTGGACTATATCCTTCCAATGTTTCTGAGTAATAGAGGTGGTATCCATAATGCTAAAGTAATGATGAAATGGGTGGGTAACTCCCTTGAAACATATTCTTTTGGGTCTCCAGATGCTGCTGAACTGCCGGGAGCCCCAATCAACATGTCCGGTGTTGGGAGATGTTGAAAATGTACTTCAACAACATCTGGATGTCATGGTTCCGATAGATGAAACCCATCAAAAGAACTCTGAGGCAATCATTCTTCCTTAAAGAACATTTTATTCAGGAAACAAAGTATTGGCACTACATAGCTGAACCCAAAAACTAAATTCCCTTCCCCCAGATACAAAGTAACAAAGTGCAATTCCCATCCCCAATAAGCTGTCATAAATCACATTCTCCAATTAGCCTTAAACGTGGGCTTTCTCACCAGCTCCTCAGCCCGTCAAAACATTATCAGTTTGTCCTTGGGTTCCTACAAAGCAGTGTTATTATTATGGCTAGTTGATCTCGAGCATTTTTCCCAACTCCCACTTTCTGCACCTAATTTCTAAATACAGGAAAAAGCATGTTAAAAGCAAAGAGAAAATGGTTGCAATTTTCATCAGTTGTCAGAGTGGGAACGTCCAATGTTTGCAGCGTTGACACTGGAAGACCATAGATTCTGAAATCATAGTGTAGGGCAAAGGTAAGCAGTTCACAATCCATTTGCAGTCCTCAAAGCATGGTCAGATTGTACCACTGAAATATAATGGCAGAATGGCTGATTTTTGGCAGGGTCATTTTTGTAGAGAAATGAGCGTAGTAAATCTGCATCAGGCAAATGCACCATTTCCATCCTTTAAAAACAGTGGCAAAATTCCAGCATTGCAATGGGAGTCAAACCACAAAAATAAGGTTACAAATGAACATACTTTGTGTCCAACGGAGCTAACACAATTCATTATGACTGGCATCGGTTCTTGAGGAATGATAGCAGAGAGAGACTTTTGTTCCCTTTCCATTGGCAGTGTAAACTAGAGACATTTTGTGTATAAGACTTCACCACTGAATACTCTCTTTCACAAATCTTCTCCTCCTGTGTTCTCTCCTCCTATCTTCCAGGAAACATTGCTTGATAAAAGCTTCTTTTCTGGTCCATTCTACCTAGAGGTTGGGGCAGAATTAACTATTTTAAATAAATGCAAAAATATAATGTCTCTGAGAGAGAGAGAGAGAGAGAGAGAGAGAGAGAGAGAGAGAGAGAGAGAGAGAGAGAGAGAGAGAGAGAGAGAGAGAGAGAGCCTTCATAGCTATCATAGCCAACCTTCATAAAAAGGTGTTAATCTTCTTAGTTTTTAAGCTCTATCAAGACTGAGCACACTCTAAGTTCCTTTCTCCATAAGGATAGACAAATAGGTAAATCATTTGTTTTGTTTGTTTTAATTTTTCTCTTATGAAAAATATATGAGAAACACTAGGCTTTTTGCAATCTTCGTGCATGAGGATGAGTGTACTACAGTTCCACCATCCCTTTAAGCAAGCATAGTAACCCTGCTGGATTCATATATATTTATATCTTAAATCAAGTATTAGGGGTCCTTCTATCATTCTCTCAGTGGATGCAAGTGTCTCTTTGTGTATATTTATATACATATAAATATGTGTATA